CCCGCCGGGGGGCGGCCCTCCCCCGGCCCCGTCTGCGGCCGGAGCTTCAGCCGCGGCTCCAACCTGATCCGGCACCAGCGCACCCACCGGGGACGGCAGCCCCACCAGTGCCCCAGCTGCGGGAAGAACTTCGCCGAGGCCGCCCGCTTCCTGCAGCACCGGTGCACGCCCGCCGGCGCACGCCCCTACCTCTGCCCCGACTGCGGGAAGAGCTTCCGCCACCGTTCCGTGCTGGAGGCACACCGCCGCGCCCACCGGGGGGAGCGGCCCTACGTGTGCGCCGACTGCGGGAAGAGCTTCCCCCAGCGCTCCCAGCTTTCCACCCACCGCCAGGCTCACTGGGGCATCCGGCCCTTCCCGTGCCCTGACTGCGGGAAGAGCTTCTTGGACAGCTCCTCTCTGATCATCCACCAGCGCATCCACACCGGGGAGAAACCCTACCGGTGCCCCGACTGCGGGCGCGGCTTTGGCCGCAGCTCCAACCTCCTCCGGCATCAGCGTGCCCATGGCAGGGAGCAGCCATTTAAGTGCCCCCAATGTGGGAGGAGCTTCCGGGATGGCTCGGGTCTGGCTCAGCATCAGAGGTCCCACCTGAAAGCCGAGACATTCCAATGCACCCAGTGTGGGAAGGGTTTCACCCAGAGCGCCACCCTCACGAGGCATCTGAGGGTTCACACCGGGGAGCGGCCCTACACCTGCCCAGAGTGCGGGAAGAGCTTCACCCAGAGCTCCACCCTCTTCCGACACCGGAGGATCCACACAGGCGAAAGGCCCTACAAGTGTCCCCAGTGTGGGGAAAGCTTCATCGAGAGCTCAGCCCTGATCCAGCATCAGAGAAGCCACACGTGATAGAGGCCATTAGGGGGGAGTATCCATTGGAAGTAACCACTAACCTGTATCTGTGACCTGGAATATCCTGGATTCCTTGGCAGAACATCAACCACTAGCCAGCATCAACGTGGCCTTGGCATGACAGCATGGCTGGACCAACGCACATTAGGTGGCTGGAGGAGAGCATCAACAGTTGGCCAATATCATCACAGTAGTGTTGTGTGTTTGTGTCTGGGATATCATAGCATCATCAGTCAGATGAGAGAGTCCACAACTGACCTATGTCATCATGGTTTTGGTTTGAGAACATGGCAGGATTATCATAATCAACTGGAGGAGATCAACCATTGGCCAACATCAACATGGTTTTGGTGTGAGAACGTGGCAGGATTATCATAATCAACTGGAGGAGATCAACCGTTGGCCAACGTCAACATGGTTTTGGTGTGAGAACATGGCAGGATTATCATAATCAACTGGAGGAGAAGCTCAACCGTTGGCCAATGGCAACATGGTTTTGCTGTGAGAACGTATCTGGATTTTCAGAGGTTAATCAACCTGAGGAGAAGTTCAGCCAATGGTCAAATGTCTACATGGTCTTATTGTGAGAACATGGCTGGATTATGATAGATTATTCAGACCCAGAAGAAGCTCAACCATTGGCCAATGTTAACATGATTTTGTTGTGAGAACATGGCTGTATTGTTGTAAATTAATCAGAGGAGAAGCTCAACCATTGGCCAATGTCAGTGTGGTGTTGCTGTGAGAACATGGCTAGACTATCATAGATCAATCCAATAGTATTTTCAAATGAGTCTAATGGGTATCAAGTGACCAAGTCTGATTGAATTCTGGAACCTAAATCCTGAGGCCCCCCTGGAAATCTGAACCGTAGGCAGAAGGGACCGTTACAATCGCCAAACCTGCCCTTGTGCATAGCACGATGATAGACAGTCCCACTTGCCCAGGTGCGGAGGAGGTGCAGAGCCTTCCAAGTGGTGATCATGCTTTTCTGTCTCTGTACACACTGTTTTTTCCGAGGTCTGATTGATGTGGCATTTAACAAGGCAAAACAAGAACCCATCCTTTCCACGATGTCAGTGGAGCAAATGTCCATATGTAATGTGACCTGCAGAGGGAGAAACAGTGGAGGTTGGTTTTGAGCCTCTTTTCTTTATGAATTAAGTCTAAACGTCTTACTTAAAAAAAAATCTGCTGGGGGTTTGGGTGTGTCCCATAGTAAAGCCGAGTCTCCACACGTGTGTAGTTCTTTCTCGACATCAATCTAGTTAAAGGGGCTTTTGTTTTTCTTGCTGTGTATTTCCATTCCCGTCGTGCCGAGGAGTCCTCCTGGACCAGCACCCCCTGTGCAAACACGGAACAAGAAGACCGTCCCTGCCCCAGAAACCTCACAGTCTAAGTTGAAAACAAGACAAGAGATGGACACAGAGGGAGCAGTGGTGGAGCACAAGGAAACACGGGGCAGAGTCATGTTGGCACAAAAAGGCCTGTTCCCGGAATAGCTTATTTTGTCTGGGGAACTGATCTACACCCGGGGTCTTCTGCCTGGAGTGGGGGGGTTTAACAGGAATGTGACCCAGGGTTTTTGGGGGGAAGTGAAAGTCGAAGCTGCAGCAAGCAGGCATGGGACAGAGGGAAGTGAGATGGAATTACCCAAGCTGTTTTGTTCCAGGAGCTACCAGAGGCCAGACCCCCTTTGTGCCGGGTGGCAGGGAAAGGGCCGGACGTGGCTTATTCTGCTCAGCCTGTTGCAGAGTGGGACTCCTGGGGTCCAAGGGCACAGTCTGTGTGTAGCCTCCCTTTTTGCTTCCTGCCCTGGAATATCCTGGATTCCTTGGCAGAACATCAACCACTTGCCCCGCTGAGGTCACCTGACCCAAAAGGCGCAGTTTTTTCCGACCTCCCCACCCCACACCTGATGTTTTGATCGTTCTCACCAGACATGAGCGCGAACAGCTCCGGCTCTGCAAATGCTTCTCACAGTCTGTGTGTAGCCTCCCTTTTTGCTTCCTGCCCTGGAATATCCTGGATTCCTTGGCAGAACATCAACCACTTGCCCCGCTGAGGTCACCTGACCCAAAAGGCGCAGTTTTTTCCGACCTCCCCACCCCACACCTGATGTTTTGATCGTTCTCACCAGACATGAGCGCGAACAGCTCCGGCTCTGCAAATGCTTCTGCGCTCCTCCCCCTTCCCCACCCCCGTGGCCGGTCCCACACCTCCTCCCTCCCCCACCCCCCATGGGAAAAAGCGGGTGATAGAATCTGCCTACTCATTTCCCTCTAACTTTGTTTCCGGCACCTAGCGGTGGTGCCTTCCTCTACGCCTGTGCCCCAGCTGCTGTCTGCCCCCGCCAGCTCTGCCCCTTCGCCATCATGGGGGAGATCTTTGCCGTGTAAACCCTCAGCCTCCATCAGGCTCCGGACGTAGACATGGCCAGGACCCCACGCGCCCTCCCTCTGCTGCTGCTGCTCGGGCTGCCTCTCCCAGGTGGGGTGAACTCGGGCGGGCGGACCGGTGGGCACACGGAAGGAAACAGGATGGAGGGTGGGGACGGAGAGCGCCTGAGGGGGCAGGAGATTGAAGGGGGGGCAGGGAGGCCACCGGGCAGGGGAGCAGGTTTGGCGCCAGGCCCAGGGGGCAACATAGGTTCGCGGAGGATGCTGTTGGGTGGGAAGAACCAATCCTGGCACTGCAATGGATTTGCGGGTTCCTCTCCTTCCAGCCGCTGCCCTGGGGGATGGGGAGACCTACTGGAAAGGGAGAGGGAAGCAGGCCCACTAGAAACATCCTTGCAGTGTGAGGAAAGGCAGTGGGGTTTGCACCCCGGGCCAGATGCCTTCAGCTGTGAGCAATGCCCGGAGCCAGCTCCTTCCGTTGTGCCACCCCCTTTAGAGGCCCCCGGGCTTCATGGCCTGGGTCATCTCAGCCAACCGGAGCAACGCCACAGCCCGACGCCCTCTGTCCTGTGATCCGCCCCGGGTACCATCTAGATTCTGGAGACGCAGGCTCGCCCCGGCTCTCCGACTCCCAGCGCCATGGATGCCGCTTTGCTGCGGTACCCTGCACCCAGGAGGGCTCCTCGCCAGCCCTCCCCCATGCAAATCATTCAAATCGCCCCTAGCAACGCCTGTGGGTGGTGGCTCTTGCCAGCTCTGGGCCTATTGCAGGGGGGTGCCCTGTCTCCGATTCCCCCCCAGAAATCACGTCCCAGCCCTCTCCCGGACGCCGCACATTTCGATAAAGTCTGTCGTGTCATTCACAGAATAACAGGCCCTCCTCTCCTTGCCCCAGCTAGAGTCTTCCAGGCACTTCAGATTAAAGACGCTGGGTGAGACGAAGCAACCAAACACCTTTATTAACCGAGTACAAGCAATGAGCAGGGCCCCACCAAATCCACCATTTGGGTCCATTTCACACTCCTGGGATTTTCAAACTAGGCAGTGGCGTGATTTCCGTTCCTCACAGCGTCACGGTGCTGTCATTGTTAGGTCCTGACCCAGAAAGGAGTGGGGGGCGGGGAGCACAATAGTACTGTAGGGTGGGGTTGCGGTTCTGGTGGCTCCCGTCTCCCCGGCCCGGAGCACGGAGATGGCAGGGGGCACATGGCTCCCGTCTCCCCGGCCCGGAGCACGGAGATGGCAGGGGGCACATGGCTCCCGTCTCCCCGGCCCGGAGCACGGAGATGGCAGGGGGCACATGGCTCCCGTCTCCCCGGCCCGGAGCACGGAGATGGCAGGGGGCACATGGCTCCCGTCTCCCCGGCCCGGAGCACGGAGATGGCAGGGGGCACATGGCTCCCGTCTCCCCGGCCCGGAGCACGGAGATGGCAGGGGGCACATGGCTCCCGTCTCCCCGGCCCGGAGCACGGAGATGGCAGGGGGCACATGGCTCCCGTCTCCCCGGCCCGGAGCACGGAGATGGCAGGGGGCACATGGCTCCCGTCTCCCCGGCCCGGAGCACGGAGATGGCAGGGGGCACATGGCTCCCGTCTCCCCGGCCCGGAGCACGGAGATGGCAGGGGGCACATGGCTCCCGTCTCCCCGGCCCGGAGCACGGAGATGGCAGGGGGCACATGGCTCCCGTCTCCCCGGCCCGGAGCACGGAGATGGCAGGGGGCACATGGCTCCCGTCTCCCCGGCCCGGAGCACGGAGATGGCAGGGGGCACATGGCTCCCGTCTCCCCGGCCCGGAGCACGGAGATGGCAGGGGGCACATGGCTCCCGTCTCCCCGGCCCGGAGCACGGAGATGGCAGGGGGCACATGGCTCCCGTCTCCCCGGCCCGGAGCACGGAGATGGCAGGGGGCACATGGCTCCCGTCTCCCCGGCCCGGAGCACGGAGATGGCAGGGGGCACATGGCTCCCGTCTCCCCGGCCCGGAGCACGGAGATGGCAGGGGGCACATGGCTCCCGTCTCCCCGGCCCGGAGCACGGAGATGGCAGGGGGCACATGGCTCCCGTCTCCCCGGCCCGGAGCACGGAGATGGCAGGGGGCACATGGCTCCCGTCTCCCCGGCCCGGAGCACGGAGATGGCAGGGGGCACATGGCTCCCGTCTCCCCGGCCCGGAGCACGGAGATGGCAGGGGGCACATGGCTCCCGTCTCCCCGGCCCGGAGCACGGAGATGGTGGTGAGAGAGCGGACAGGGAAGGATGCTACTTTCCCTGCTGCTTTCCCTGACCTGTGGGAGCTGCTTTTGTTTCCCTCCCTGCTGGGTCGTCTCTCTTTCCTGAACCCGTGCAAAGGGAGCAGCGCTCCCCGTCCCTGGTGTGACAGGCCTGGGTGCCAACCGCGGCTTGCACGTCCAGGTGGCATCGTGCGAGGTCCCGCACGGGGCTGCCATGTCAGGGCGATGCTGACCGGCCAATTGTGCCTGGTCAAATGCTCCCTCACAAGCAGGTCTGCTGACATTGGCAGGGGGCAGCAATTACCCCGGGGCCGGACAATTCAAAAGGGCCCAGGGCTCTGGCCACTGCCACAGTAGCTCCAGGCCCTTTAAATCATCATTGGAGTCCCATGCGGAACGCTCCCGGTGGCTCTCAGGCTGCCTGGGGGAAGCTAGCCCCACCCCTTTTTGCATGAGGCTCCGCCTCTTCCCCCTGAAATCCAGCCCCTTCCATCCTAGCCCCTCCCCTTCCCACCAAAGGCCCCGCCCCTTCTGGGACAGAGCCGCCCCCAACTCCTTGCCCAGAGGCCTGGTGAATCTCTCAGCCCCATTGCTCACAAGGTGTCCTTTGTACAAAGATGATCACACTAGGGGTAGGGTATGGGTATAGGGGTACAGTCTGTCAGCCCCCAGCCTGATGCCCTGGCTCATAAGCATTTCCTGAAGCTGGATGCCCTTGGCTGAGAAACATACTCTGGCCTGGACACCCTTGATTGCTAGAGACACCCTGGACCGGATGTGAACTGGGGAGGACCCTAGCCATGAGGCGCAAACTTCAGAAACAGTTACAAGAAATAAGGCCAAAATGGAACTGGCACCTCACTTCACACCCTCAGTTAAGTGCAAGGCGAAGGTTTCCTGCCACGCGTTCGCCGCCACCTGCCCTGCCACGCGTCTTATGTCATGGCTCTTCCCTGGGTCAGTACTAGCTATGTCTGACAGATCAGGGCCAGATGTCCTTGCTAATTTCAGCCAGGCTGGTCTGGACAGCTTCAGTCAGTAATGATGCCCCAGGCTGGACGCCTCCAATCCGTTTCCCCTTAACACTGCCCAACTTTAAAATTCTTGTGTGTGCATGTCTCCTCTTCTGCCACTGCAGCTGTTCAGAGGGGAACAGCTGCACCTGAGGACAGCTCAGAACTCAAGCGAGGTGTCTATCTCAGGCCTCTGTTGCCACAGCCCCCACTTGCCTACCTGCTGCTTGGCATGCCCCCCCCCACACCCAGTCCTGCTCACACGAGCACCCCCACTAGTGTGGGAACCCCTCCAACAACGCCTCCGCAGGCATCCCCTGTCAGTGTTCCCTCCTGATACAGGAGCTCCTTCCCCGGCCCCCACCTGACTAGCACCCCCTATCTGTGATCCCTTGCCATTGCAGGAACCTCTCCTCCAGCCCCCTCTAAGGATCTTACTTCTCCAGCCTTCAGGACACCAGGGTTCCTCGTACCTTCAGGCCATGAGCTCTGCAGTGTTGTCAGCTCCCGACATTTGGCATTTTGCATAAAGCCCCAGCTGCTGGAGTCATGAGATTAGATACGAACCATATCATTTGTATTTTAAAAGCAGTGCAGGTCTCCAGCCCTTGTCTTGGGGGAGAACACAAGCAACAGTGACCCTTGGGGGCTCAGACGCCAAATAAGGAAAGCCACAAATGTATTATTGTAACAAACAAACAAACAAAAGTCAGGATATTTAAAGCCAGTCTTATAATACCGGGGGACCTGAGTGACATGGGACCCTAGGAATACAAAACACACCCTAGCTTTCTGTCCAGTTGTATAAGAAATTGAAACAGCTATTTCCGCTTGTGGTTACTGTGTGTGAAGCAAGTGCACGCGCACTTTGCTTTCACCAGACTTCCTGTTGATAACCCTGGGCTAGCGCTAGGAGAGCTAGGGGCCTGGACTCCTGGGTTCTGTCCCCAGCTTGGGAAGGGGGAGGGATCTAGTGGGTTGGAGCCAGGACTTCTACCCATGCTTTGTCTCCCCTTGGCCTGCAATGGCATGAAAATGCCTCTCACGGCAGGTAAGCCCACCTCTCGACGTGCAACAGCACGGCCGTTCCCTTCCAGTCCCTGTCAGGAGTCGGATTCAATCTTGTGCTCCCCAAGTTTCACTTCCTCATCCTGCCAGCTGGCTCACAAAACTCAGACTCGAAAACACAGAAGTGTCCCAGCAGCCGCCTGAGTGAACAGTTGCTGGCTGGCTCCTTGGGGCCCTCTCATAATGAAATAAAGCACTTGGAATGTAACGCTCGTGCTGACAGGTCAGTGAATGGCGCGGCCTAACACGGGAGAGTGTACTGATGTTGCTCCGTCGCTTGGTGTAAAACGAGGCATCTCTCTAGGGAAGGGGTGGCCAACCCATTTAACAAAGAGAGACGAAACAGCGGCAGAAAAAATGCAAAGAAGAGTGTAACAGGGCAGCTGCCCTGTACTGGCCCCTTTAAGAGCCAAACCCCAGCCTGGAGCAGGCCCAGGGAGTTCAGCCCAGCTGGGCGGCGTTGACCAATTAAGGCCCAGCTGGGAGCTATAAAAGGGAAGGGCTGCTTCAGCAAAGGGAGTGTGAGCCTGGCTGCCCAGGGAGCAGGACGCTCTCTGGA